GTCCAGGCCACTGAGGACGTGGCTGCAGCTGAGACGGTCAATCCGCACATCTCGCTGCACGCCATCGCTGGCGTTCGCACTAGCGAAACAATGCAAGTGCGTATCCAGCTGGGCGGTGCCTCCCTCCTCGCGCTCATTGACTCTGGCTCGACACAATTTCGTCTTCGAACAAGCCGCAGCACGCACTTCGCTTCAGCTCCTCCCTCGTGGCAACATGAAGGTGACGGTGGCCAACGGGGAGCGCGTGCCGTGCACCGGCATGTACCGCGCAGCGGCCTTCTCCATCGACGGCGAGACCTTCTCCACCGACTTCTTCGCCCTGCCGCTAGCCGGCTATGACGTCGTCCTCGGCACCCATTGGTTGCATCCCTCGGACCAATCCTTTGGGATTTCAGAGCGTTCACCATGTTCCTTTCTGCACCCAGTCATCTACAACCTTGTAAAGCCCATCGTAGATGTAGACCTTTCTTGTATAGCTATTCTTTAACAAATGACCTCGAATAACTCGGAAAGGATTATCATTGTCCCTGGTATTCTTCAATGCTAAATTTCCACGTGTCAACTATTGAGAGCCAATTTGGTGATGGTTACAAAGTAAATAATTTCCTTCTTGACCAGTATAAATAATTTCAGCAGCCTTGTCTTGATCATCTTCAGATATCCCTGACATTATGATACAGGTGGTCGATGGGAAAGTTAAGTTCTCATGGTCATTCTTTCCATTGGTCTGACGTTTGAGGCCACCCTTAGCCTCAATCTCCTATCGCACTGGCCAAGTTACTCCTCCAGATGTAAACAGACGAAAGAAGGGCGGAAAACTCATGACGTTTAAGTGCATCAACGTAGTGGATGTTCCGAGGGCTAGACACCTTCACATTGGTGTTGAGGCTGATGTTGCTTGAATGGCATATTGTCCATTGTGTGCAAACCGCTCCAAAACTCATTTAGTCTTTATATGAAGTTGTTCCACTATTCGGAATGAGTCTAGTACCCAACATGACAGTGTTACTTATTGATCAATGTTTCTTCTAGGGAGATTAATGATAAATTCTTCCTTTGATTACAAACGAAAGCACCATGTTGTTATAGAGTGTGGCCCAAACATTAAGGATTGAAAGGTAGAGCAGTTGTAGTTCTAACCATCTTGCATGGCAAGTTGTTAGCAGAATTAGGGAGTTGAGCCACTGTTTGATAGTGTCCAGCATTTGTACCAATGCCGTACATGATAGTTATGCTTTTACTTTTCGTTTTTTTGCTCCTTTTCTGTTGTCTTGATTTGCTTTGTTTTCTTCACCCTTTATTAGATGGCAAGCATTGCTTATTGAAGCATGGTCTTGTTTTGTTTTATTCTTTCTATTTCTCTTTTGCTTATAAATGTTCATTCATGACAATCATGGCAAGCAATCCATCTTTGTGCAATAACTTGAGGTCTATTTGGTATACGACAACAACTTACGTTAAATAAGATGTTATTATGTTGCCTTTTTTCAAAATAGTCATCTGTTTGGGCGCTCGATCAGGTCCAAAGCAGAAAAATCTTGAGTGTAGCTTTGCTAAAAAATTACAAGTAAAAGTAAAACACAAAACAATATATGCTTCAGGATATCTCACAATGTGCATTTTAGTTAGCCTGAGATGCATGGAATGGAATAAGCCACTAGCAAGGAAAACCGACCCACAATTAACCGAAAGTATGCATTTCTAACAATTTCATCTGCTATTCCTTCAAGGGAAAAAAGTACATTTTATAAGGGGAAGGGACCCCGTACAAAATCCAGTAATAAAAGGGTAACACGAGAAGAAAGGGTGATGTCATTTTAAATTTCAATTAAGTTCAGATGGCAGCAAATACATTACATAAATTAAAAGAGAAGAACTTTTCATAAACCAAATCATTAGTACACATAGAAGGGTTTAATGTTGGGGCACAAGGTTCGTAGACAAAAAGTTTGTAGGCATCGATGCATCGTATATGCATACTAGACCTGAAATTGGATCAGATCAGATCCGACTACAAATAAATTAAGCTAGGGTTTGGGTATTTGGTTTCGCACAGCAGGAACGAAAGAGGAGGGGATGGGCGCACCTGGTGGGAGCTGGTCACCGGCGAAGGCCAGAAGATGGAGACCTGGCGTAGGGCGGCGGCGGCAGTCGCCCACTCGTCGCCGCTGAAGACAGAGAGAGTGCACGCGACGCGAGGGCCACAGGAGAACGGCCGGACCGGACCGGACCGGACCGGAGAACACACAAAGCAGCAGCAGGGCGGGGCCGCAGGAGAACGAATTCAATGAAATGAGATCGCACCTTTGCTGGGATCGAACGGCGACTGGTACCCACCAGCTTTCCATGCGCTGGGCCTCTTGAGCTGACATGGGCCGGCTGCTGTGCTTGTGCGGCCAGTAGTTGTGATTCCAGCCGGCAGGGTGCCAGTAGTCTGTTTTTTTTCCTTTTTTTTCCGTAATACTACGCGTCTTACGTGGACGTGAGCACAAATCGTCAGACACCCTCGTTGCTTGTGCTTTTAACCTGCCGCTCGCTCTGTTTGCGAGTTTATTAAAAAAAATCACCCATCCTTATCCCTTCCGCTTCCTTCTCCCCTGCCGCATCGCTTTGTGGCTGCCCCGTCCTAGACGGGGACGCGCACTCCCCTCACTGCTATCGCGCGCCCAATCCGCCGTCGCTTGCTTCACTCCTCTCGTCGTGCGCGCTGTTGTTGGATGCTAGTGGTGCTCGCGTGCCGCCGCTCGTTGCCGGCTCCCACCCCGACGGCCGGAATTGACCGGCACAGGCACTCCCCCTCTCCTATGTTGCAAATATATATTTCAAGTGTTTCAGACGTTTCATAGGTACGTTGCAGTTGTTTCATATGGATGTTGAAAGTAGATCGGGGATGTTGCAAGTGTTTTAAGGGCATGTTGCAAGCATTTATTCAAAATGTTTCATCTGTTCCAGACATATGTTGCACACGTTTTTTTCTGGATGTTGCATGTTTTTCACACATATGTTGCAACAAAGGAGGCAATGGTGGCTTGGAGGAGATTACAAGCTCACACATATTTTGGGCGCCATCTAACAGATCTGCGGCTTGGAGGAGATTACAAGCTCGCAGTTACTTGATGGTGGAGCAGTTGCCGGGTGATGCGGTGTGGGCGCGAGGAAGAAGTGGCGAAGGAAAGGCGGGGAATGTGTGCTGGGCCCGCGACGCTCTTATAACGGTTCGACCCCTGACCCTCCGCCTTCTAGGGCTTTTGGGAAATTGTGCCCGCTCCCGCCGCATTCCCTTCTGAAACCTCCGCGTGTCGATGGGCCGCGGGTTAGGCCTGATGGGCCCCGCGTCAAACTACGTTGAACGCGGAATGATGAAACGGAGTTCAATGCTACGCGTAGCTTCCACGGTGTAAACATATTTTCTAACCCTGCTACAAGATGCCTTCACCATCTTCTAGCAGGCTCGGGGACTACGGGTGTACACGTCATCTTGCGATGACTGTACTGATTTTCTCAGCTAATCGGGAAACGGGTTCAGCACCCGCAGATTGCCTCTTTGGATCCTGGCACCACGAGACTTCTTCACCTAGTGCCAGGTTCGGGGACTAGGTGTGTACACTTCACCTAGCGGTGAATGTACTGATGGCTTGGTCTGGATATTTTTCTTTGACCCTGCTACAAGATACCTCCATCATCTTCCAGCAGGATCGGGGACTACATTGTGTACAATGCACCTTGCGGTGCATGTACTGCTTTTCTTCTCCACGGTGTTTCGACTTTGTCAAGTCTGCCATCTGATGCCTCCCCTCTGCCCTGATGACCACGCCGTCAGAGCCATCGCAATTGGCACTTAAGTGTGTACACTTTACTGGCCAAGACTTCAAAAATTTTCTGCTTGAGCTACTTACATCCCGCCGTCAAACCTTGAACTTCACGTGAGCCCGAGCTTGGCTCCCAGTTGTGATACTTGAACATCTATCTCTACAGCTCGAACGCCATGTTGACGTGTTTAATAGCTCGGACGCCATGTTCAACAGCTCGGATGACGTATTCCGCAGCTCGGATGCTCGTTTCAAACAGCTCGGCCCCCAGTCAATCTGGCCGGACGCCTGCTTTCGACGACTGGCGGCTAGCTGAACTGCTCGAACAAGCTCAAGATGGTGTTGCTCGGCGGATACAAGGCGCTCGGGGACTAGCTGTGGGGGTATAACCCCCGGTACCCACAGGACTGCACATGGGCTGAGCCGCTAGGGGAGGCCCAGTCCACAGGACCGCGCATGGGCCGCGCCACCAATGGAGGCCCAACCTGCAAGTCGACGCCACGTGAAGTACGACATAAGGCAACGTATCTCGCAAGACTGCGTGAAGATTCTCGGCGATCTAGGAAATCTGCTCGGATATGCTAGATTACCTTGATCTCTGTAATTTCCTATCTTGTAAATCGATCAGGATAGAAACAACCGATCTGTAACCCTACCCTCAGGCTATATAAGGCGGGTAGGGACCTTTCTCGTTTTTCATCTGTCCACACGTAATACAATTCACAAAGACACAGGACCCGAACCTGTCTAATCGCTGTCTCTTGCGTTCTGTGTCACCATCCGGTTTCCTCACGCGCACCTCCACTGATTCATCTACTACCGTGGTCATACCCCTCAGTAGACTGTCGATTATGTTTCGTCGACAGTGGGCCTACCGGAGTGTCCGACGATTTGTGCTCACGTCTAACGTAAGACGCGTAGCATTTAAAAAAAGGGAAAAAACAAAGAGACTACTGGCCCGGAGCTGCTTCTACCCTGGCACCCTGCCAGCTGGAATCACAACTACTGGCCACACAATCACAGCAGCCGGCCCATGTCAGCCCAAGAGGCCCAGCGCATGGAAAGCCTGGTAGCAGTCGCCGTTCGATCTCAGCGAAGGGTGCGATCTCATTTCATTGAATTCATTCTCCTGCGGCCCTGCCAGGCTGCTGCTGCTTTGTGTGTTCTCCGGTCCGGTCTGGCCGTCCTCCCATGGCCCTCGCGTCGCGTGCGCTCTCTCTGTCAGCGGCGACGAGTGGGCGACTGTCGCCGCCGCCCTACGCCAGGTCTCCATCTTTGTGCAATAACTTGAGGTCTATTTGGTATACGACAACAACTTACGTTAAATAAGATGTTATTATGTTGCCTTTTTTCAAAATAGTCATGTGTTTGGGCGCTCGATCAGGTCCAAAGCAGAAAAATCTTGAGTGTAGCTTTGCTAAAAAATTACAAGTAAAAGTAAAACACAAAACAATATATGCTTCAGGATATCTCACTATGTGCATTTTAGTTAGCCTGAGATGCATGCCCAAGGCTACATTTACTGCAAGTAGGATCCTGTCTCTCCCAAGACATGTTTTTGGCAATAGTGCACTTTATAGATGACAAAACATGTATCTGTGATGCACGGAAATAGAGATCTGACTTGTATAAGTATGCCAGATAAGAGATAATGATGCAAGTATGAACATGTCCTAGAGAATAGAATTTATGTGACCATTTGGCCTCAACCAAGGAATTTATGACGTGGATGGATGAATGGATGTTATGAAATCCTCTGGTCCACACGAACTCTTTCATGATTTACAGAGTCCTGTTGTATTTTTTATCTCATTTCTAAATTTGTATTTTGTAGGAAACATTTCCAGCGCAGGTACCCAAGTATGGCGGCAAGACGCAATGTTCGGTACTCACCTCTTCCTTCAGAGGATGGGGGTGACAACAATTTTACTAAAGAAGATGTTGACCTCCGATACACTTACACTCCAAAATCCTACAGAAGGATCCCATGGAAGTCAATTGCCCTGGCATTGTTCCTCCTCCTCCTAGGAACTTCACTTCTCTTTCTTTCTTACTTCATATTCACAGGTCACATGGAGGGTGATAGTTCTCAGGCATATGGTCTCTTGTTCCTGGGTTTCCTTTCCTTTCTTCCTGGTATGTTATTCTAACTGCTTTTATGCATTTATCTCCTCAGCATGAATGATTTTATTTTATTTTTTATTTTCACTATCTTTTAGCTTCAAAAGTACTTATTGGTGTAGTTATTCTCGAGTTGCATCTCATGCATTCAGTGAAATTTATTGCCATATAAAATTGCATATAAAATAAGGCACTATGCATCATTGTTATGTAATCAATAGGTTTCATGGTCGCTTAAAACAATGCCAGTCTGCTGTTTGGAATCACAGTTTTTATTGTTGAAAGGAAACTGTTCACACTTTGCTATGGTTGTGGAAAGTGAAAGCTTTACTTGTTTTCACATAATTGCAGGTTTCTATGAGACTCGAGTTGCTTACTATTCATGGCGGGGAGCACCAGGGTACACATTTGCATCCATACCCGATTATTAGCCTTTCAGCTCACGCCACTGATGCAGTAAGGATAATGAACACGCAAGCAACTTGAAACTTTCCTTGGGAACCTATTTTAGTGATAAAGAGTTAGCATGTAGATGTAGTGGCCCAAATGATTGTTGTGTTTATAGGATGATATTACTTCATCGGTCAGTAAAAGAATAATCCTTATGCTATTGTAAAGAGCAAAGTTTGATTTTGCAATTGCTTGATATTTCCTTGTCAATATCACAGAAGTTAGTTCCACCAGACCAGTATGTGTTTATCTGATGATATCCGTTGATGAAGATACTATGTTATGGCGCAAGTTGCGGTCGGTACTGTGGCTGCACCAGAACCCAGTCCATGCCCTTTTTTAAGGAGTTGGGGTTCATATTTCTGTCATGCTTAGAATGTTGTGGACAACTGGAATGAAGAGAGGCAGAGAGCATCTGATCGTGGTAGGAAGCTGAACGCGGAGAGAAGGGCCAATAATGGATGATGTAGTCTGGAATTCAAATGCAATATATCTGAGGTCTGAGCTATTCCATAGCAATGGCAAGGTTGTGGCTTGCTTGGTTGGACTTGACCTACCTTTCAACTCTTATTACTCTAGTGACAACACCCCCAGATAATACACCTCCTGTCGGTTAGCAAGCAAGAGAAATAGGAGAAAGGCCACGATTCGTTCTCTCTTTAACGAGCCAAAATGTATCTTCAATTAAGTGAAAGTTCTTTTGAAAACAGGCCACTGTTCCCATCAGTAGCATTTTGAACCACCAACAAATGCATTTGCCTATAATTATTATTACTCCCCTCCTATCCTTCTGGATAGGTTGGGATCAAACCTTTACATTGTGTTTGGTTTGCAGATTGTATTCATTCGGGCTAGTCCGGCATTAAGTTGTCACACCTCAAAATTTTTAATTTTAGATTGTGCATAGAAAACACTAAATAAAATAAATTATTTTAATATTTAAATAAGATTTACCAAGTTTAGTTTGAGCTAGCGCAAATTTAGTTATAGAAAAAATGTGAATTTTTAAAGTTTTCTAATTTTGAAGGGCATTTAGATGATGTGATGCTTGCTTATTGCTTCTTTGTGTGTTGAGAGTGAGCAAAGTCTTTAAAATGCGTTAGTAGGTCGATTTTTCTTCTCCAGCACGCCTTTATCTTTTTCTACAATCAAATTCTTTGTTTCCCGGCTCAAGTTTTCGTTGGGAGCTTTCTAGAATCTTTTCTTTGTAACGCAAATCACTCTTTTCAGTTCCTCGTCCGTTAATCAATCTCTACAAACTTCTCGGAAAATTTTCCATATTTTTTTTTGGAATTTGTTCCTACTTGTCTGTGAGCATAATTTAATTTTTAGATACTCCAAATTATCTTATCATGGGCTCCAAATACTTTATTTGGGTTTCTCATATTCCATAATGTCTCTGGAAATTTTCTCCGAATTTTCAGAGCTTTCGGAGTATTTTTCGCGGCTTAAATAATAATTCTAGACTTTTATGAAATTATTTTATCCACGAAATTCATTAATTCCGAAAATAATAAATCTCTTATTTTTCCCGACGCTCAAAGCCCATGTGCAATAATCCTAATAAATCATAAAGGCCCATGCATTTATTTACTAATTGGCTTTAATGATTATTTAAGCCCATTAGTAAATGTGGAGGGTGTAACATTAATTAGTACCATATTACTAGTTGATGTAGATGTGGAGAGTTTTTCTCCCTATAAATATGTACCAACTCCTTGGGCAAAACACACCAAAACTACCGTAAGTGGAGCCCCTAGTTTGGAAAATCTCTCGTGTAGTAAATTAGATTTTTCTCCTCCTCTCGCCGTCGCCGCGCTGCCCAGCCCGGCCATCCTCTCCTTCGTGCAACAAGTCGAGCCCACCCCTGCGTAGCTGCTGTTGCCATGGCCGTGTGGTGGCTGTTCGGGAGGCCAAAGGGTGAAGACGAGGTAATTACGAAATTACCACTAGTTCGTAATATCGTCGTCGTATATTCTTTTTAAGTCTGTTTCGAGTCGTTCCAATTGCATTAGATTCGTATCGATGTGATCTACATGCTAGTGTCATTGTTTTTCATGTCAAGTGACTTATATATATATATATGCTTAAATATTAATTTGATTAATATGCATGCAACTAGTTTTTATAAATAAAAGCAACATAATTATATACAATGCTCTTTTGCAAATAAGTTTTAACATGACTAGTTGCTAATATAAATATGTTTCTAAATTATAATATGTTTAGTCTAAACACACATATCAAATTTGATTATATGTTCTCATATGTCAGTTTGTATTTGCAAGTTAAAGTTGAATTGGCATAAATGATATCAAAATATTTATAAATAAAATATGATTAGCTTAAACTCAGTTTTTAAGTATAAATATGATTTGTTTAATCTAAATTAATGCTACTCACGTAGTTTTTCCTAATTAATATAAATCAAGCTTATAGTCTTCTCTCTTTTTTTATAATATAAAATCCCGTAGTCGTTTCTTTACAACCGTAGTTCTGATTAGCGTGCTTTTTGTGTTTGTGTGTTCTAGCGATATCTAGAACATTTTTAAAACCTTTTTACTCGCTATTTATTATGTTTGGTGTACTGTTCTGATTTAGTTCTATTGTTTGCTTCGTGTATGATTGCATGGATACTTGTGTGGTGCTTTATGATCATGTCCAGTCGGTGAGCTTTGCATTGGTGATATAAAAGAAGTGGGTGATCCAGAAGAAGTCCTTTGAAGGTTATAATTCAATAGAAGAATAATCTGAGTTTAAGGCAAGTATAGCATGGGATCTTCCTTGTTGTCCTATACATCTTAAATCATTTAATTCATACTGCATGTGTCTACCTTGACTACACTAAAGATTTTCTAATACTTTGTTTCCCTGTACCTTGATACCTATGGGGTATTGCATTGGTTAGTATGATGCTAGTGCTCAACTGAAACCATGATCTTGTAATTTGACTAATGGTATATGCAATAAACACTAAAAGATGTTTTTAGCAACATGGAATCAGGGGGCTAGAGCATTGGACTGTTTTTATGATGCTCTAGATTCCTCTCCCTAGGACTTATCTGTAAGTGATCATCTAGGATTTATAGTACAGCTGTGAGGGCTACATGGCTCTGCCTTTAGCTCAGTATGAGGACCTTTTCTAGCTTGTTAGTGGTTATCCTTATTGGCATAAGAATGGCTTGCCGAATCGGGTATAGTGCGGCCTCTATCCCCTTGTATATAGGCTGCGTGTCATTGTGCCATCGAGAAGGGGGGCTCTACATCTGTTTGCTGAGTGAATCTAATAGCCCTAACTTGTTAGACGGACCTTTGAAAGGCTTCATAGTGAACCCTGCTGACCTTCCTTGGTAGTGGGTCAAGAGGCTGATCACCTCGAGCGAAAGGATAAATCACGACTCACAGTGAAAGTGTACAACATTTGCAAAGTGTAAAACTAGTATATCAGTCGTGCTCACGATAACGAGCGACCTTGGAACCTTTATGGAATAGATGATGAACACTGATGATATGATGATAAAGATGCTTATTAATGGTTAATTGTTTATGCTATTCATTATTCATGTTTACCTGATCATGTGTTGACATCGGCTTGTGGATAAACTTGTTGCCACGCTATTGCTAAAATCATGACTCATTAAAAGCTAATCGCAGTTAACCAGTGTCAGCCTTTTAAGCCTCATGAACCCCTTGTCATATTTGTTGAGTACAACATGTACTTACGCTTGCTTTATTTTTCAATTATTTGGATAAAAATCCCAGACGGGTACCAGATTGCTAGAGTTTGGAGGAATTAGGCTTGTGATCAACCAGTCAGTTGTCCTTATGGAATTGGAGTCTTCACTCGAAGATTGGAGTTGTCTTTTCACTGTTTGCTGTCTAAAGTTATATCCTTTATACTAAGTATGTTATATTTGGAGCATTGCCTTTCGATATTACCCTTATTTATAGCTATATGTGAGATTTGACTTCATGGGCTCACATATGGCGCGTATCTGGTTTTATTCTTAAAACCGGTTGCTACAGAAGTCATCCGATGTTTTTTGAGGAATGACTTTACTCGCCTGCGGAAACATTGTAAAGGAATGATTCTGCGACAGACGTGTCGGTGAGGTGATGAAAGGGCAAGCCCAACTTTCCAATATGTTAGCCTCGCCTAAAAGTCCCAGACCATGTAGACTTGAGATGGTTTAAGGCTGTTATCTTCTCAACACAGGCCATAGTTGCTAGTCCCATGAGCCACTGTTTCTCTGTCTGCCTGCATGCTACTTTTCCATCCTCTTGGCATCAGAGTAGAGTGCTTCTTTCCCACAACGCTCCCTCCAACTAGTGCCTTGAACTTTTGTCGGATGAGGATATGGCATCCTCTACAAGAGCCTATGACAGTCTGTGAGGCTAACAATTAAGGTGATTTGGACCGCTGGATCTAACGTGGTCTATGGGGCAGCACGCCAACCTGTCGCGTTGGGCACGCTGAAAGGTCCTTGTTTGGTTTTGGTAATTGAGTAACAACTTAGGTGGACTAATTGTGTTTAATGTGAGATACACAGGTCATTAGTCCACAGGTACATCATGTGTGAGCAACCTTTGCCATGGAGGTGAAATGGCTTGGAGAAGTTACAAAGCTCACACATGTGATGAATGAGCTCATTGCATATGAGACATGACATGGAGTCATGTGGCTAAGGTGAAGAAGATCAAGACAAGGCTTGGCTTGACAGACCGGTTGCAAAAGTGAAGGGCAAGTCAAGGACTTGACACCGATGGACCGAGGCAACGGTGAAAAACAAGTGAAGTCAAGATCGATGAACCAATATGGTCACGTGATGATATGGAGGATCATATCATTGTTGATCATGTTGGTGCATGTGTTGCATCGACACTAGAGGAGATGGAATGGAATGCGCAAGGCAAAGGTATAACTTAGGGCATTTCATTTCCCTAGTCATAGGTGTGTAGAGAAGTTGATGACCGGGTTTAG